AACAGAGCAAGAAAATCCTTCCTTTCTCCCCACCCACCCACCCCAGCCTCCTCCCCACCGTCACCCTCAGTAAGCGTGGCGTGCGAGGGGAGGCTCCCTCACCCCCTCCCCCACCACCTACCCCCTCCCGGGATCAGTCTTCACCCCGAAACAGCAAAACTCGGCTAACAGGGGTGTGGTTTGTGAGTAGCGGTCCTCTTGCCCCCCAGAGGGCCCGCTCCCGCCGTCACTGGGGTGTCCGACAGCTGCAGTTCCTGCAGCCAGCGCCTTCACTCTCACATCCCGGCCTACGAGGGTGGCCGACCTCCCTTCCTCAAGAGGCCTGCCATCTCGGGAGGAGGTGCAAGTTAAGTGTGTAACTGAGGGCAGAACACACTAGGTGAAGTGAGTGTGTTAGAGGCAGGTGGAGTGAGTATGTTAGAGGCTGGTGCAGCGCCGTGCAGATATTTGATCACCGATGAAGGGGACTTGGGTAGCGGGGATTTTTGTTTTTACGAGCGGGAAGGGAAGAGGAGGGATGATGAGGGAAGGGGGGAAAGAAAGGGGAAGGAGACAGATGATGGGGGGAGGAGGGGAAACAAACTGGGGCTGCAGCAACATTACTAACGCGCTCACTCATCTGATCCTTCATGATGGGAACGAGGGGAGGGAGGGGAGAAGGGAGAGGAGGATGGGGGAAAGGTGGGGGGGGGGGTAGATGCGGACATTTTTCGCTCTGGGGGAGTGTCAAAGGAAGAACGATTGCATTTGTAACACGTTCAGTCATTTGTTCTCCGATGGTGGGATTTTTTTCTCTGTGGCGAGGAGGGAGGGAGGGAGGAAGAGAGGGAGGAAGAGGGCGAGGCAAGAACGGGATGCAGTTACCCTGTGAGGAATATTTAAGACTATTTTTTTGCAAAGAATGTTGGGGTGAGGATCTCTCGCCTCTCACACCTCATGTATACCATACTTCTCCTCCGCCCCAAAACACCGTCAATGGGACACAACGGTATTAAATGGTCTAAATTATCTACCCCCATCGACCTATTCTGTGAGAGGCAAGTCACGATGAAAATCAATACTATAGTCAAGTTTAAATCTATGCCCCCATGTGCACAACACTCCTATGGAGGCGGCGCCGTGTGGACTCTTTCATTCATAACACAACTGTTACATAGACAAAATATAACAGATGGATATAAAGAGTTCCACCCCACACTGAGGTCTCTGTTGTCCACAGAAAACATGCCGAGGCCCCTTAACTTATTTGCATAGACAGTCAGACCCCAACAATAAGGCAGAGCCTATTCTCCAGACGTCCCCCGACCTGTGTGTGTGTGTGTGTGTGTGTGTGTCCCCTAGAGAAAACTACGGGGGAATTAAACTAATTTAACAACCTTTACTCTCCCTTCCCTTCTTTCCTCCCCTTTAAAGAAAGAGAAAAATGTACAGGAAATTTAAAACCGAATTGCAGGGAAGTTCTGTTCATATTATATAAATAAATAAATAAATAAATATATAAAAAAATAAATATATATATATACACAAAGTGTGTGTCTATATATGTCGACATTTTAGTGCAGTGTGACCATAAGTTATTTTCAACTGTACAGGTGGACCACTGTGTTGTCATGTACTGGAGGAGTTAGCATTAAGTTATGTACACAAGCAGTGGTACTGATGGTTACTCTTCACTCGTTTATTATTCGAGGTATTTTCTGGACGTGTAGATGTGTGTTCACCTGACTGCTAGATATAATATATCATAAGGACATAATTAGTTTACTCTCGGTATTACTTCTACAGTTCCTTCAACAAGCTGTTTACATAAATCTTTCTGCTTACAAAGATCTCAATTTAGCTTCTGTAACAAGTAAACAAATTGTTATAAGTTATTTATTTCCTCATCAGTTTAGTTAGTTAGTAAGCAATGAGAACTACAGAGAGACAGGTTAGGTTAGGTTAGGTTATAGTACAGGTTCTTTCAACAGTGGACAGATATATTAGTTTGTATAGTGAACACCTCTGCCTCTGGGACAAGTAGATTTAACTCTTAAACAAAAATTCCTTTAGCTCCTCTACACTGTAATCATCTGTAACAAGCAAGTGACACCTCCACATGTAGCTACAGTTGTCCACTAACTATGATACATGGCTACAGAATGTGTTTTAGTTTTATGGTAAGACCCTGACCATACCTAACCTAACCTAAACAAACACACACACACACATCCCCCCCCACACACACACATCCTTAATGAATGACAATTTTCATCATCTCCCTAATAGTCAGGTTCTATACAACAAGCAAATGACTAACTCCACATGCACACGAATTCACCATCTTCAATAATCTATCGTTTCAAGACACCCAAACACCTTGAGTAAAAGACAATCATTGCTTGCCCTCGACACACTAACTCTCTATAAGAAACACGTGTTAGCTCTTATATACAACACAAGCCTATACCATCAACTTCAATATATGGACACAGATTAAGTCTATACCTCCTCTCTCTGCCTGGCACTACGGCACCGTCTTCACCACTACCAAGAAAATGGAGTCACTATCCTGGAGGCAACACAGTGACTACTTTTTTTTGTTTTTGTTTTAACTGTGGTGTATGTGAATGATTCCATGACAACATTCTACCTGATGTGAAGTACTGTATAACATTCTTTCTTATATAAATTACTGTACGTCATTCTACCTGAAGTACTGTATACCATTCTACCTGATGTGAAGTACTGTACACCACTCTACCTGAAGTACTACACCATTCTACCTCATGATATAAAGTACTGTACGATATTCTACCTGATATAAAGTACTGTACAACATTCTACCTCCTCATATAAAGTATTGTATGTCATTCTACCTCAAGTACTGTACACCATTCTACCTGATATGGAGTACTGTACTCGTCAGCAAGATAACCTACAGTTGCTACAGGGTCACCAGCTGATGTCACACAAACAAAATACAGAACATCACTAACTCTAACTCTAACCTGACCTGACCTGACCTGACCTGACCTGACCTGACCTAACCTAACCTAACCTAACCTAACCTAACCTAACCTAACCTAACCTAACCTAACCTGACCTAACCTAACCCTGAACAATAATTAACAATATGAGATAAATAACAAGTCTACACGTGGATGATAGGTCAATAAAATAGAGAAATGAAACGAAATAATAACGAAAGAATAGAGAGAGAGAAAGACCAAAACAAGAGAAAGAAAGCTTGTTAAAAGAAGTGGATACAAGAAAATATGAAATGACATGTCAGGGAGAAATAATGTAATAGGCGTGGAGTAAGATGATGAAGGAAGAACAGAGATGAAGATGATGATGATGAAAGTAGTGAAAATACCAAAGGAAATGAAAAAATGGAGAAAAATTACGAAAATAATGATAATGCTTACAAAGAAGATAGTGAAGAGGACGAATAAAAAAGCAATGAGGATAATGAAGAAGAATTAAATACAGATGAAGAAAATGAAAAAAACATGAGAACAAAAGGTGATACGAAGAAGCAGTAATAGAGGAATTAGAGTAAAATAAAGAAGTACAAGATGTAAAGAAGAAATCAACAAAAATGATGATAATGGTGAAGAAAACCATGAATGAAGGATAAATAAACAAAGATGAAAAAGAAAATGGTGAAGAGGATGATTATAGTAATTAATAATTACAGTAATAACCCCAATGAAGAAGAATAAGGAGAAACGGTATTAGGATGATGAGGATGATACACAGATGACAAGTTAATAAGGCAGAAATGGTGATGATAATGATAATAGGATGATAGTGATGATGACAATGATGATATGAATGATAATGATAAAAGATAAAAAACGAAACCAAACAATAAACAGAAAAGGATAATAATGATGATATGAATGATAATGATGATATGAATGATAATGATGATGTGACATGATGGGGATGATGATGTGAATGACAATGATTATGAATATGATGAAGCAAACTCAAGAAGCAAGAAAAAATAAGATAATTTTTCTAGCTGTGGTGTGAATGACAATGACTGAAAATGAAAACACTGATAGAAACAAAATAACAATAAACAAATAATGAAAAAAAAGAAAGAACAAGAAGAGAAAGAAACTAAAGAATAAGAAATTAAAAGAAAATCAAATGAATGAAATAAAACAAAGATCAGGTTTAAGAAACAAAATAACAAGAGCCTCTACATTTCACCAACATGAAAAAACAAAACAAAAAAACAAAAGTTAAAACTAAACTCAAAAAACAAAAACACAAAGATAATTAACTGAAAGAAACAAGTAAGACAAAAGAAAACAAGGAAAACAAAAAGATAAACAATAAACAAAAACAAAAGACTTGCTGAGAAAAAAAATACGATGGTAATGTAAACAATCATGCACATCTGAATGACAATCTACCATAACAATCATAACAAAGGCAGCAAAATAAAAAATAATTAAAACACAAATGAATCAGATAACGAAAATACAGGATAAATAAGCGATGGGATAAATAGCAAGAATAAACAAGAGGAAAAGAAAAGAGATAAAAATCCCTGGTCGTGAGGTACCCCCCCAAAAAATATATCAAAGGAAGGAAGGAAGGGAAAAAATGCATGTCAACATTATTTCGGTGAGTCATCCACACAGACCGAGGATTCTATCTAGTTTGCCATCTGTCATCCTTAAACCACTAGTGCTTTTGCTATTACTATTCACTTAAACGAATACTGATCTAAATACATCTCACAGTGAGCTAAAAAGAAGAAGAAAAAAAATTAGTAGCCACAGAGGTGTATAACTGTACACGCACTAACCTCCGACCTGTACTCTGTGGGTCCTTGACAGTGACATATGGAGTTTCATTGAACAGAAGGGAAGGTATGGTAACCTGAGACAGACAATGGTAGGGTCACGCGAATAGTTAATGGTAGGGACCTCAATGGTAACTGGTTGTCAGTAATGGCTAAGGGTTAATGGTTGCATGTTCAATGGTGGAATCTTGCTTTAGCTTCTACCTCTCTTTTGGCTACGGTTGTTTAATCTACGGTCTGACTGTCCCTGCTGGGCGAGGTTGGAGTCCCCGGGACGGGAGTCTTTGTTGGGTAAGGAGGGAGAAAAAGGCTAAGATTTCATATGCAAATGAGGTAGCTACAGAAGGGTCTATGACGGGATAAGGGGAGAGAGGGTAAGCTTAACTGCGATTACTTTTTACGGATGTTTGTCAACCAGTATTTACAAAAAACATATCATAAACTTGACGATCATTCACCGTTGTGTTATGTCGGAGAAGCGTTCCTTAAACATGTAAAAAAAAGAAAACACTGATCTTGGGTTATCCATCCTAACCACAACTTTCATCACTACCTCCATAATACAGTAATATCCTCCGTGTTTACATACATGTGTGTGTTATTACTCAGAGTATTGATTTATCAACATAAAAGAAGAGAAAAAACATAACATTTACATCATAAAAGTCACACTGGTAGCGTTCTAGATCACTTGAAAAAATCCTTGCTGGTACGTCATCTTCCGGGGAACACTGAGGACAACTCAACAAATCAGCCAAGCCTAGCAAATTAGTTGCACACACATTATGAGAAAAAAAAGAGCGCCAATTTCTCCCCTCACTACTGTGTGTGGCGGCCCGTGTCTACCTGAAGAAAGCGCGCGAAGTTTAAAAATTGGCGCGCGGGCTGACGGGTGGGGCCAGGCAAGCTACACGTGCCAGTCAACTCACTAGCATCGAGCGTCACTTGCACACACCTCATTCATGTGTACTAGATCACAAAGTAATCTCACTTCTATTTTATTATATCTTAAGTTCATGGTCACACTTTCTTTGAATCACACACACTGCTTAAGACTTCGGAACTGTAAACCAGACTAAAATGTTTCTTATCGCTGGTAATTTCACTCTTCACCCTTTAACACTAAGTCTTAATCAGACAATTTGCATAATTATCTCATGGCACAACACAATGATCACAGAAGACACTTTCCACAACCTACCTTCAGTTGATCTTCGACGTTCATTGCAAGAAGCAACTGTACAAAAGCTTCCAGAGGAGGCGATCCAGTAGCTCCTGATGGGGGGAATCCTGGTGTAGAGGAGAGCGAGGGCGCCAGAGATGAGGGCGTGAAGGAGGGAGGTAGCGAGGCAAACGACACTGGAGGGGGACCGTAGGGCCCGGAAGACGGTGGGAATGATCCTGGCGAGTAGTTTGAGTATCCCATAGGATGCTCTGGAAGAGGTCGCTGGCCATAAGGCATCTCCATATTCCTTGGTGGGTAGACTGGCGGGGAAGGGGGCGCCTCCAACTTGGCTGAGAGCGAGGCAGAGTCTGAAGTCCGCGGGGGGAAGGCTGAAGACTCCATGAGTCTGGGTGTAAAGGAGGGTGAAGCCAGAGTCCGTGGGGGGTAAGACGAAGGAGACCCTAAAGACGGGGCTGGATACGCGGGAGAATCCATGGCTCTAGGAGGCGGCTCGTCCGGGTCAGATGTTGTGGGCATGGGCGTTGAGAGGTCAGGCGAGGCTATGGGGTTGGGGGGAGCCAGTGTGGCGGGTGGGAGGTCACACCCGTGGGTAGCCAGCGTGAAGGCTTGCGAGGTCACCAACTATTCGGAAGAAGTCAGCCCGTAATGGGCGGCGAGGTCAGGCAATGTATATCGAGGTCACCAAGTTGCAAGAGGTGAGGTCAGTTCAGTTGGGCGCGAGCGGGTCAAGTGGGGTTCATCGCTAGTGGCGGGTGCCGGGGGCTGAGGCGGTGTCCTAGGTGGCGCTCCAACACAAGACTGCACGCGTCGCCACGCTAGCTAGACTGAGGCCGCGAGCTGAGCTGGCCGAGCGATCGAAGCGACTGGGGAGTTTAGGCCCGTCTCGACGAGTGCCGACTCTTGGGCCGGCCAGCGCCAAAAAGGCGCAAGTTTTGGGGCGACGACGCAGCAAGGTGGATCATTTCCTGTTTTCCAGCGAGCAAGGGGCCGGCCTTTTCTCCTCAAGACGCAGCCGCCCGTGTTTTGCAGCGCACTCATCTCGGCCAGCGGTGCTGGGCCTGCCCACTGGCGGCCGGGCGGGGGCGCGCGGGTGCTGGGGAGACGCCGAGGAGGCCGAGGAGTAGGAGGAGGAGGTGACTAAGGAGGCGGGCGGTGTCGTGGCTGGGCGGCGCGGCAGGCAGGCAGCTCCAGCAGCGCCTCAAGACGCCACCACGGCAGCCCCGTGGCGGGAGCGTCGCTGTAGTAGGCAGCCGTGATGGTGGTCCAGCAGTAGCCAGCAGCAGGCACGTGACGGAGGCACTGTGTTCCCGGGACGTCCCCGCGCTGGACACTGGCCCACAAGCTGCGCCCTCCCATGGCATGCAGGCACAATGCACGGCCTAGTTTGCATCATAATACCGCGGGAAAGGACGCGCTTAACGGTCAGTTGCAAAGAGAGGGGGATCAAAGCTGTGTAAAGGCTGTTGGGAGTGCAGTGCTGCTGTAAGTGCATTACCAGGCCCGCCTGCAGTTTAGTTGCAGTCCAGTTGGTGTGATGACCACTAGGTGACCACTCAAATAGAATGATGTTTTATTCATTTTAAACTTGCCACGGGTCAAACTGTTTGCTAGATGAACACAAGAAGTAATTAGAATTTCAACTAGCAAGCATCTACTTCAGTTTTCAGCCTCATTTCCCCCCAAGTAATAACGTCCAGTTTTAAAAAAAAGTTTGGTGATAGGCCGTCTGGGATAGGCCGAGTATCGGGTGACGCTGATTGGCTGAGCAAGAGAGCTCCTTAAACGGCGCGGTGGGTGGGCGGAGTCAGAGTGCGCAGCCGCCCTCCTGGCCCCTCCCACCACCAACCCCGCTATCTCGACCTCCTTACCAAATATATTGAACGCCTTCTTCATCTTAATGGCCTCTGCTTCCTTCAGCAGTATGACCCTTACGTACGCCAGCCGGAGCAAAGAATAGCGGGATATTCCACCGCTGTGTCTAGTTCTGGGGTAATGAGTAGCATTGTATCTACTGTAAGCCTACGACTGGCAGCCAATCAGGGAACAGCTGGGCTAGCCAGGCCTATGGGCGTGCACATGTTGTAACGCAGAGTAGCAAGCACTGGGTTTTGCTAGCAATGCTTGGCGTTTGTGTTGACGCCAGGGACTTAACTCCCACGATCCCAGCTGCTGTCAGTTTCCCAGCAGTGATGCTTGCACACGCTGGCTTTACCTGCCCCGCCACCACACTACTGCCTGGCCTGGCCTGGCCTGGCCTGCTGCTGGCTCTGCTCACTGCTGGCCACGACCTGTGGATTACTCACGCACATGCTCGAGCTGGCGGCTCACATGTGGCAGGTGGCTCGCTGAGGCTAGGTGGTGGCCTGTTGTAGCCCAGTTGATGCTCTCATGTGGGCCACCTGGTGTGACCTGAAGTAAGCCAGCTGGCGTGATCTGGTGTAGGCTACCTGGTGTGACCTGGCGTGGACTAGCTGCCGAGTTCACACGTGATCAAGTTGGTGCAACCTGAAGTGGGTCAGCTGGCGTGACCTGAGGCCGGCCATCTGGTGTAACCTTGTGGATTAGTTGATGTGACTTGATGTGACCTATGTGGTGTAACACCAAATAGGAGAGCTGGTTAGCTGACATGGTCCAGATGGTGACTTCACGTGCTCGAGCTGGTGTATTAACGTGGTTCAGCTGGTGACCTGACATAGTCTAACAAGTGTTCTGATGTGGTCCAGTTGGTGACAACCCATAGTCCAGATGGTGGTCCAGCTGGTCTAACCTGATATGAATAAGCTGGTATGAACTGACAGGAAACAACTGATGTCACCTAAAAAGCGGCTGGTGTCACCTGACATGACCCAGTTAGTGTCACCTGACATGAACCAGCTGGTGTCACCTGACATAACCCAGCTAGTGTCCCCCGTGACATGAGCCAGCTGGTGTCACCTGACATGAACCAGCTGGTGTCACCTGACATGATCCAGCTGGTGTCACCTGACACGAACCAGCTGGTGTCACCTGACACGAACCAGCTGGTGTCACCTGACATGAACCAGCTGGTGTCACCTAACAAACCAGCTGGTGTCACCTGACATGACCCAGCTGTTATCCAGCTGGAGTCACCTGACATAAACCAGTTGGTGTCACCTGACATGAAGTAGCTGGTGTCATCTGCCATAAACCAGTTGGTGTCACCTGACATGAACCAGCTGGTGTCATCTGCCATGAACCAGCTGGTGTCATCTGACATGAATCAGCTGGTGTCACCTGACATGAACCAGCTGGTGTCACCTGACATGAACATGCTGGTGTCACCTGCCATGAAGTAGCTGGTGTCATCTGCCATGAACCAGCTGGTGTCATCTGCCATGAACCAGCTGGTGTCATCTGCCATGAACCAGCTGGTGTCACCTGACATGAACCAGCTGGTGTCATCTGACATGAACCAGCTGGTGTCACCTGCCATGAACCAGCTGGTGTCACCTGCCATGAACCAGCTGGTGTCACCTGACATGAACCAGCTGGTGTCACCTGAAGGTGAACCAGCTGGTGTCACCTGACGTGAACCAGCAGGTGTGACCTCACATGAGTCAACTGGTGTGACCTCACTTGCGTCAACTGGTGTGACCTCACATGAGTCAACTGGTGTGACCTTACATGAGTCAGCTGGTGTGACCTCACATGAGTCAACTGGAGTGACCTCACATGAGTCAGCTGGTGTGACCTCACATGAGTCAGCTGGTGTGACCTTACATGAGTACTGTGACCTCACATGAGTCAAACTGGTGTGACCTCACATGAGTCAACTGGTGTGAATGAGTCAGCTGGTGTGACCTTACATGAGTTAGCTGGTGTGACCTCACATGAGTCAGCTGGTGTGACCTCACATGAGTCAACTGGTGTGACCTTACATTAGTCAACTGGTGTGACCTCACATGAGTCAACTGGTGTGACCTCACATGAGTCAACTGGTGTGACCTTACATTAGTCATCTGGTGTGACCTTACATTAGTCATCTGGTGTGACCTCACATGAGTCAGCTGGTGTGACCTCACATGAGTCAACTGGTGTGAGTCCTTACATTAGTCATCTGGTGTGACCTCACATGAGTCAACTGGTGTGACCTCACATGAGTCAGCTGGTGTGACCTCACATGAGTTAGCTGGTGTGACCTCACATGAGTCAACTGGTGTGACCTTACATGAGTCATCTGGTGTGACCTCACATGAGTCAGCTGGTGTGACCTCACATGAGTCAACTGGTGTGACCTCACGTGAGTTAGCTGGTGTGACCTCACGTGAGTTAGCTGGTGTGACCTCACGTGAGTCAGCTGGTGTGACCTCACGTGAGTTAGCTGGTGTGACCTCACGTGAGTCAGCTGGTGTGACCTTACACGCGTCAACTGGTGTGACCCTACATTAGTCAGCTGGTGTGACCTTACACGAGTCAGTTGGTGTGACCTCACATGAGTTAGCTGGTGTGACCTTACATGAGTCAACTGGTGTGATCTTACATTAGTCAGCTGGTGTGACCTCATGAGTTAGCTGGTGTGACCTGACATGAGTCATGACGTTCAGCTGGTGTGACCTGTGAGTCAGCTGGTGTGACCTCACATGAGTCAGCTGGTGTGACCTCACGTGAGTCAGCTGGTGTGACCTCACGTGAGTCAGCTGGTGTGACCTCACATGAGTCAGCTGGTGTGACCTCACGTGAGTTAGCTGGTGTGACCTCACGTGAGTCAGCTGGTGTGACCTCACGTGAGTTAGCTGGTGTGACCTCACGTGAGTCAGCTGGTGTGACCTCACAATAGTCAGCTGGAGCAACCTCATGAGTCAGCTGGTGTGGTCTCACATGATTCAGCTGGTGTGACCTCATATAGGTCTGCTGGTGTGACATCACGTGACACAGGTAGATGATGTGGTCCAGCTGACAGCCTGACTGGTGACCTGGTATGGTACAGCTGCTGACCTGACATGACAAATTGGTATTACCTAAAACATACCACTTGGTTGACCTGAGATGATCCAGCTGGTATCCTAAGAGAGCCCAGCTGGTGTGGCTTGACATGACCAATCACTATAACCTGACTTGGGCCAGCTGCCAAGAGGGCAACTGGTGGACCTAAAATGAACCCATTGGTGGAGCTTGACATGAGCCAATTGGTATGACATGACCTGTACCAGTTGACATGACCTGAACCAGCTGATATGACATGAACTGGATCAGCTGGTCCATCCTGTCATGGGCCACTTGGTGAGACCTGACATGATCAAGCTGGCGTGACCTGACATGACCTAGCTGATGTGAACTCCCACCATAGAGATAATCTGTACAATCGTGGCCACGTGGGACGTGAGAGCACTAAGGCTGATGACCGCTGCAGATGAACACGACAATGACGACAACCTTTACTCCTAGGTCAAAATGCTGATGACTTGTATGGTTTCAGGTCACGTGGATAATGACCTGAAACCATTAAGACAGGT